AAGTTTCAACCGATTAAATCATCATTCTACCGATTAATCCAACTTGCCCTAAAATGGAAAGTGATGAAAAACATCCACAAACCCAAACCCAACATACATAATAGCATACAATGATTAAATAGCAATGTTTCTCACCCTTACCTCGATTAATCGGAGCTTCGAAATTGGTTCTTGAAGATTCTCCAAGCTTTTTCCCTTTTTCCTCTTCATTTCTCCTCTTCTTCTTTCTTTCTCTTTTCTTTCTTTCTTTCTATCTTTCTCTTTCTCTCCAATCCCCTTTTTATATCCTTTTATTTCTTTTCTTTTCTCTATTATTTTCTTTCCATTCCATTTCTCTCTTCACAATTATCTCATTTTATCATTAATTGGAAAATATCTACTAAGCCCACCTTATTCCACCCAATAGAATAAATTAGTTAAATCCATTAACTCATATTAAATAAATCTCATAACTTATTTAAATCAGATAAACCACCTAAACCAATCCATTAGTACAATTAATCAGTTATCGAAAATTGGGCTGTTACACCAAGAGGCTGTATTACGAATAAAAAAACTAATTTATATATATATATATATATATATATATATATATATATATATATATATATATATATATATATATATATATATATATATATATATATATATATATATATATATATATATATATATATATATATATATATATATATATATATATATATATATATATATATATATATATATATATATATATATATATATATATATATATATATATAATTTATTTAATTTGTAGGCACATTAACAAGACAATAGTTGGATTTGTGGTTGCTATGTTATGAAAAATATATTTGTTATTATCTAAACTGGTATATTTCAAGGATTACATGAGGTAATAACAAAAGATTTTAATGTTTAATATGTAAATCACATCACTTCATGTTTCCATTTAATTTATTTTATTGTTTGCATTTGTAGATATATGATGATCCATCTTCATATGACAAAGATGTTATTGATAATATCCGATAACTTTGGACTCAATTCTTTTTTCAAATAGTTGAAGAACAACATCAACTTGAAGAGAAAAAAACAAGGAGTTAGAAAAAAGATGGTGTTTTATAAGAATTAATATTGACTTATTAATTAACATTGTTTTTTAATGAAAAAAATTAATTTAGATTTACACTCTTTAGTATAGTTGTTAAATTTGAACAAAAACTTGTGAGTTTAATTTTATGCAGTTGAAATAATAATAAAAAGTGTACAGATGCCAAATGTAACCTTAACTTTATTTAAGATTAAACAATTATGTTACGTATTTTATCTCATCTATTTAGAGAATAATATTTGTTGACAGTTCATTTAAATCACACTCAATGTCATTTATAACACTAATTTTAATAAAGAAAATATATGATACATACGCCATACAATCATTATAAGAAAAGTTTATACAGCCAATTTAAGAAGAAAAAAAAAACAGGTGTGAAAGGTTGGTTTCTAACCAAATAACTTCGTTAAACTTTTAACATCCAATTTTGGAGAAAATTGGTATGATATATATGTTCTACATCTTTTTTTTAGATAAAAGCAGGTGTCATAAGTTGGTTTCTAATCAAACTACTATCCATTCAACTTTAATACCGGTTTTTTTTTTAAAGTAGGTACAATTTATAAATGTTTACACCTCTTTAAAGGAGATAAAAGGTGTCGAATGTTAGTTTTAACACTCATATGTAACACTTATAATATCAGTTTATCATCGGTGTTAAATTGATTTACCATACCTTTTTTAAGACCGGTGTTAAAATCATACTTACAATACCGATAGTAACAACACTGAAAAAAATATAGTATTAAATTTCTAAAAAAATCGGTGTTAAATCCCTTATCTATACTAGTGCTCCTGTGGCTAAACTTTTATCTATTAATATTTTTGTATCTCTTTACGCCAAGCATCATTGGCCCTTTTTTAAAAGTTAGATGTGAAAAATGCTTTCTTGCATTGCGACTTACAAAAGGAGGTGTATATGGAGCAAACACCTGGTTTTTTGCTTGGGGGAGAGTGGTCAAGTGTGTCTTTTAATGAAAAGGTCTTGGTTTGAGAGATTCGGTGAGATGGTTTTGGGATTTAAAATGAAACGATGTCAGAGTGATCATACAATACTTTTTTACTAAAAACAACTAAGGAAATATCTTACTTGTGGTGTATATTTATGATATTGTAATTACATGAAGTGATAGCAAATGAATTGACAAATTGAAGGATTTTCTCAAAACCAAGTTTCAGACCAAAGATTTAGGAGTCTTGAAGTGCTTCTTGGACATTGAAGTTATGTATTCAAAGAAGGGGATTTTTCTTTCACGGAGGAAATATGTTCTAGATCTTTTCGGTGAAACTTGTATGATGGGATCCAAACCATGTCAAACTTCTATGGCGCCTGGAGTTAAGTTGACAGTGGGCGGATCTCTTTTCTCAGATCCACAGAAGTATAGAAGATTTGTGGAAAAATTGAATTACTTAATTGTTACGAGACCTGATATTGTTTTTCCTATAAGCGTTGTAAGTCAATTTATGTCTTCCCCACTGATACTCATTGGGAAACACTAGTTTGGATTGTTAAATATCTGAAGATAGCTCAAAGAAAGGGAATTGTTTACCAAGATCATGAGCATATGCAACTGGAGACTTTTTTTATTCAGATTGTGTAAGATGTCTAGTGGATCGGAAGACTACTACAGGATATTATGTATTCTTCGGAAGTAATTTTTTATCTTGGAAAAGTAAGAAATAGAATGTAGTATCAAGATCAAGTGCAGAAGCATAATACATCATTATGGCTCAAAGGACTTGTGAACTGATACGGGTAAAGCAAATCTTGGATGAAATGAGATTTGAGAAAAATTGTCTTGTGAAATTTTGGTGTGATAACTAGATTGCCATGCATATTACATTAAATACAGTCTTTCATGAAAAGAACAAAACACGTTGAAGTAAACTGTTATTTTATCAGAGAGAAGGTTCAAGAAAATCTCATATCTACTTCCTATGTTAGGATAGGAGATCAACTAGCAGATTTGTTTACAAAGACATTGGGTGAGATGCGTAGTGATTTTATTTGTAACAAACTGGACATGATTAATATATATGTTCCAGCTTGAGGAGGAGTATTAAGAGTTTTATAATATAATATTATATTACTAGGAGTTTAGTATTAAGTATATGAGTTTAACCAATTTGTCTTTCTTATGTACCACTCTTTTAATCTATTACTATAAATATGAGGATTATTACACATTGTAGTGCATCTAATTGATTATTCATATTTTTTCTCTTTTTCTATGGTATAAAATATTAAGGATAAAGTATTCATCCTTGTATCTCTTTATCTTTATTTTTTATATTTATATATAATATAAGAAAGTAGTGTGTGTTATGGGAAAAGTCTTGTACAATTTGTTGACTTTAATTATTTAATTTATATTATCAAAAAATTAATTAAAATATAATTTAAATGATAGTTGCTTTTTTGGTCTATTTTAAATAATTAACTTTATTTTTTAATTTTTTTTCTTTCATCTTAGGACAAATTACAATACATTATACAACATTTAAATTTTTGTAAGCACTCTTCAACCATTTTATTCTGACCATTTTAATCAAACGCTTCAATATTCTACAGAAAAAATATATTATTCTTTAATTAATTAAACGCGATAACACATTGTATGTTATTAAGAGTCTCAAATTGTATAAAGAATTTTAATAAATAGGTCAACTCATTGATTTGCTTTGAGAAGTAGAAAGATGCAATATTTCTTTGACTACATTCATACTTTCATGTGATGGGAGACTTTCCTCCTACTCTTCTTTAATATAGTCACGTTCATCTTGTTTCTTGCACATGAATTTATTATTTTAAATACTCTATAGAGTGAAAATTATCTATACAAAAAAAGTTAATATTAATATTTTTAACATTATTGCCATTTTATATTTTAATATTTAATTATTTATTTATTTATTAAAATTCAAAAAAATTTAATATATCTATTTAAGATTTTTTTTCCACCAATAATAAAAAAGACTTGTTCGAAGATAATAGATATTTGACCGTATGTACCGTTCTTTTCTTTGAATGCATTTATCTACCAAGGATCACACCTACACGAGTTGCATTATATATATATATATATATATATATATATATATATATATATATATATATATATATATATATATATATATATATATATATATATATATATATATATATTAAATTTATAGTATTTAATGAGATTTATTTTAATTTTTTTGATATATTATATAAATATTTAAAAATATAGATGAATTGTTTAAATAATTGTAAAATATAAAACAATATAAAATTTTTAATAAAATCCATTTAAATAATTTTTTTAGATACAGGTGCTCTTTAAATCTAATCAACTTTTTTTTTTCATCTCATAATGTAAAAAACTATGATCTACCTGAAAAATATTAAATAGCTAAATTGGTATTTGCTAAGTATAGATAAAAATATTATTTTTAAGAATTAACAAATACATCATCAAAATTTTAAAATGTTTCTTTCCTAATTTTTATAATTAAAATTTAAAAATTGACACATCAATATCACCTTACTATGAAACAATTTATCTATAAGATATTTAACCTATTATTTTTTGATACAATCCCAAGTTTGTAATAAAATAATTTCTCCAAAAATAAAAATATTTTAAATTTTTACAAATAAAACACCTTAAATTAAGAAATTCATAGTATGCTATATACTTTTTGAAAAATATTTAAAAAATTATGTTTTATCCGTTTTATTAAAAATATTTAAATTGTTACTAGAAACATCACTGCCACAAAAAATCACAATGTCTTAGTACTTTTGTCTCTTTTCGCAACACTGTTAACACAAAAAAAAGAAAAACTAAATTGTTAATTTCTCAACCTCACAAATCTAGTAACTTTTTAACTATATTCTGGTTAAGTAACCACCATGGACGAAGAGATTCCATCAACATTGCGTTCATCTCTATCATTTGAAATATATAACAAATCTCATCTTCACGAAGATCATGATTACAACAACAACAAGGATCCAGAACATGTTTTGAAAAGAACCGTTTTGAGTTTAGAAACCATTGGTAGTGATGAGTTCACCTTTGAAAGGAGCAAAATGGATTTGATTGAAGAAGCTGAGAATGAGATTGAGAATGATTGGTCAACTGAGATTCAGAATTTGAGTATTGATGATGAAGATGATGAAGATGTTCAGCCTTCTACTCCCCCTATGTATCTTGCAACAGGACTTGGAGTTGATGGTGGTGAAGTTGTTGTATCTGATAATAATGATATGTTGTTTGTTCCGAGTTTGCAAGAAAGTGATGATCTTGAAGAGTATTACAAGAGAATGGTTCATGAGTATCCTTCTCACCCTTTGATTCTCAAAAAATATGCACATTTTTTACAAGTGAGTTTAATATTTTTTTAGGGTTTTTGTTTCTTATTTTCAATTAGTTGACTTTACATATCTCTCATGAAATTGGTTTTAAACGGTTTAGGTTTTAGTTTAATTTGCATATACTTTGATTCTGAGTGAATAGATGCAGGTCTTAGTTTTTGAGCTGTGTTATTTTGATAAACATTTTTAGATTCATTTTGACCAGTATGGTGTTTGTTATAGTTCTTTCTGGGATGCTGATTTCGAGTTCGAATATATGACATCTACTGATATAGGGTAATGGGGAACTTCAAGATGCAGAGGAGTACTTTAATCGCGCCACTCAAGCTGATCCTAATGATGGTGAAATCTTGATGCATTATGCGAAACTGGTGTGGGAGAATCGTCGTGACAGAGATAGAGCATCGGTCTATTTTGAACGTGCCGCTCAAGCTTCGCCTCAAGACAGGTAACAAAACATCCATGCTTTACGGAAGAAACGGGATTGTTCTCTTTAAACTTGCAAAATGTTGAGATTTTCATTGATAAAAAATAAAAGTTAACATGTAATGTCTTTTTCAGCGATGTTCTTGCAGCATATGTTAGTTTTCTCTGGGAAACAGAAGATGATGAGACTGAAGATGAAAATCGTCAACCTCAGGTGTGTTTTTTTCTCTCTCGATCTTAAGGCCATTGTTTTCCAAATGACACACGTTGTTTATTGAATACTTAAAGATTGTAATTGAATACAGAATGACATGGAAAAACAAGAGACTGAACTTGTCAATACCTCAAAAAAAGAAAATGGCGTTGAAAATCTTACAACAGCTAATTTAAACGAAGACATTAATGATGCAGATTATTTGAAGAAGATGATCGATGAGAATCCTAAAAATCCTTTGTTTCTGAAAAAGTACGCTCAGTTTCTGTTTCAGGTGAGACTTTAATCTCTTTTTTTTCATGCGCGTACGGATCTTTTAGGAATAATGTTAGGTACATTCAAAGCGAGATCTTATAAAATTGCAATACTCCTCCACCTTAATAATGGACAGTCAAAGAGAGATCTTGAAGCAGCAGAGGGCTACTACTCAAGAGCAGTCTCAGCTGATCCCAGCAACGGCGAAACCATATCGGAATACGCTAAACTACATTGGGAACTTCATCATGATCAGGAAAAAGCCTTGTCTTTGTTTGAACAAGCAGTTAAGGCTACCCCTGAAGACAGGTACAATTCTTGAGACACATCTTTTTTTTTTCAGAAAATGTTTTGTTACTTCGCATTCCTTTAAAGCTAAAACAAAAAAATGAAATTCATAGGTAGATACAACATACAAGTGCTTAACACTTTTCTTGCTTCCAGCAATGTTCTTGCAGCATATACATGCTTTCTTTGGGAGACAGAAGACGGCGAAAGCTGAATCCAGAAGAAGAGCTGCCAGGTTCAATAGTTCTTCTGCTGGAAAATGCTTGAACAAACGCACGCAAATAATTAGAGGAATCAGCAAGATTAACTCGTCTATAGCTTCAAGAAAGCCATAATGTTATTCTTCTTTATTTGCTGGTTTTTTTTCTTCTTTTTTCTAGAATAACAAAGCTAACTACAATCTCTTCACTCTTGGCATGTATCATTACTTTTGTGCGGAGAAAGTTGAAAAAATTTCACCATATTTACCATCCATTATTAGTACTCTTTTTTGATATCAGGATAAAAATTTATATTCAAATACTTCAAATAAAAAAAAATACTAATAAGTCCTCTAATAATTTAGTTGTTAAGTCATTTCATTATTTTTCAAAAAAAAAAAAATTAATTATTATAATCATGCGCTTCCAGTTTTCTCATCTTCAAAATTTATATATAAAATGATTATAGTCAAAAAAAAAAATATACTAAACATTATTTTTAATATGTTTAGCTAAATTGATTAAACTGTTATTAACCCCTTTTCAATCTTAATAAATAAATAAATATTATTCTTCAATCAAATTCACTACTCAAATTATGAATTTTTTTAATTCAATATCACATAATTTCACTTTATAAAAAATATTTCAATTTTTTTTACCAAATGTCATATTCTATACCTTTTAAACAGTTTCTTATTCTAAGTATATCATAAGTACTAACTATTATAGTAAACTTTGACTATTTTGTAAAAAAAAAAACCATCAAGATAATTATGTGCCTCTCCACCAAAAATGGCAGATTAACCATTGAGATATTGACATTCATTTGAAATATTAATCTTTTCAACATTTGATATTATGAAGAAATTTTTTTTTATCTCTTATCTCTTTGATATACTGATATATTATGATAACAGACATCAAAATCTTTATCCTAAAACACTCTTTCTGAAAAAACTCATAAAAAGAAGATATATAACACCTCAGGCATTGGCTTGTTGCTTAATAAGCTTATAACCACACAGCACACACAAGTAAACATTGAAAATCAATGCTGAAGTATTAAGCATGTAATCATATTTCCATCAAAACATGCACTATATTATTCTTTCCTTTTCCTTGAGAGAGAACCTAGTCCTAGATTAAAGTCATCATACGTTGGAACTAAAATCTCCAGGGCCTATGTAAATTATCAGATTTTGTGATACCTTTATGGACCTTTTTCTTTCCTACAGAATCAGTTTTATCTTTAGACTTAGGCTCTCCGCATTTTCTTGCGTCTGAATCAATATTAGTAGTGTCATGTGATTTCACTTTACATTGAGCAAGAGAATGTCTATTTGGTGAAACAGTACTATTCTTTGGAGCAGATAGTTTTCCATTTCCAATCTTGTTTCGGTTTCCAATCAATAGGTCATTCTCTGAAAACAAAATTGAGACAGAACTTTATAGTCATGTCAATAAATCGTGAATAACACAAAAAAGATGCAAAATGGGGAAACTAGATTTAGCATGCATTAGGTATAATGGATGGCGCTTTCAATAATTACAAAGATGCAAAATGAGGAAACTATAATTAGCATGCATTCGGTATAATTGATGGTGCTTACAATAATTACAAATATCCAACTGTGTTGGAGCATTGTATTGCGCAGCGACAAACAATGAATAGAATTCTCTTCTCTATCAACTAGAACTAGAAGTAAAAGTTATTTTAGAATATTTTAAGCTTCTTATAAATATCTTAAGAGGCTCTATTCTCACTTTATGCATACCATATGTTTTGAAGCAAACCCTGCTGTTTACTTGAACAGAAAGTGATAGGCCACACGATTCTTGGAATTGTTATCATAATGACATTTCATGTGTTAATTTGCATTAAATTTAAAATAGAATGATGGAAAACCAACCTAGATACGATAGTTTTGCTATTCGGGTTTTCAGAACAGGAGAATGAAGACCTAAGAAACCACCTACTGCACCCAAAATGAGATTTCTTGCAATGGGATAAAGTGAACATTGAGATGCACCAAAAACAAATGGGCTGCTCAAACAAAAGTGACAGCAGCTAAGGAAAGCTCTTTGCCCTCTTTGCTTTCAGTTGGCCTTATCTTAATTTCTTTACAAGGATAATTCTTTTCATCCTTCCGATGAGCAAAAGCTTTAGACTGATTTAAAGCCATCGGAGAAATTACAATAAATCTTAATTTCTTTAATTGTTTCTTGTATTTGAGTTGTAAATCTTTTTTCTCTAATTTTTTCTTCTATTTGAGGAAAGTGTTATTTGAATTACTTCTTGTATTCTGATTAAACATAGAATGATTACTGATACTTTGCATGATCCATAGCTCTCCATTTCTATTGCCCTTTTACTACACAACAATATTAATACATTTCCCGTTGAGAAGACCCCTAAATTGTCTCCTTTCCCGTTGGGAAGACCCCTAAATTGTCTCCTAACAATATAATACTACCAGGTCCGTCCCAACTTATTTAGAGGCCTAAAGCACAATTTATTGGGAGGCTTTAAAAAATAACATAAAGCTTAAAACACTAGAAAGTTAAATTTTGCACAACCCAAAGATAGAACTTGAGACATTAAATATATGAGACGCCAATTTTAACCAACTAAGCTAAGCAAATATTTATTAAAATTTTGTCATATTATATATTTATAACTAAGTTTACTTTTTTTAATCTATTAAGAAATGTGGTTAGGCCTAACTCATCTCTACAAAACCGGCTCAAAAAGAATTGCCCACACTTATAAGGATATGTTCAGGTCATATATTGTCCGAAGTGGGACTCTTAAACATAAGCCTTTTTTTGAGTATAAAATTTGAGGCCAGAAGCCCTGGTTTTGGTGGTTTGGCCCTTGGGCCGGCCCTGTATACTACTCAATATTCCTTTAGAAATGTAAATGTCGCCACCAGTCTTCCCGAAAACATTCTTTTCAGCACAATGTTTCTTTTCTTATGACTGAAGCAATTTTGAAATATAAATCATATGAAGTGTGCTTCAGTTATGAGGTTGGTATACCTTCAAGTTCAAGGTACTTCAAGTTTGCTCAACTCTTTATCTAAAAACTCATTTTAGAAGAGTTGCATTATATCATTCTAGAACTACTTTTATAGTAAATTATTAAAATAAAAGTTATTCATGTATTTTCTAAAGAGTCTATTCTTTACCAGCCAGTATATCACTTGGCTTCAATGACTCATCAAAAGCAGCCCAAAACATTGTTATTTACGATATAAAGCATAATTGCTCTTGTGATCTCCATACCAAGTTTTACTTGTAGCTCAGACATTCAAATTGCAAAAAGCAATAGGTATATAAATAAATATAAAACAGAAAATCGATGAAGTATGAGATTTACCAGGACTTGAAATGACAGCACGAGGACGTGGAATTGAACTGCCTCTAATGTTTACTTTACTTTCATCATCATTATTGCCATCCTTCTCTAGTCCCCCTGGTCCTGACAAATCAGACGTCAACCCGCCATCCCCGAAATCTTCGGTAACAGATACTCGTGGAATCAAATTGGCTCTAATATATACTTTACTCTCATCAGTATCTCCATCCTTCTCTGGTTCCGGAGAATCCGAGGAATCGGATGTCAAACTGCAGTCGCCAAAATCTTCGGTTACAGATTCCAACGATACCGTTGGAATCGATACTTGTGGCACGTAACAGTTTGGTAATTTGACAATAGACGGCGCAGAGAGAACTTTATGATCCTTTACTGCAAAATTAGACTTAGCACCTTTACTTACTGTTAATCAGATTATGCCCACACTCAAAAGAATGAAAAAGTTCGACATAAGAATTCTTGATTTGATCACTTTAGATTAGAAAAATTGGAAAAGAATAGCGTCAAAATTAGCAAGTAAGAAAATAGAAGGAAATGATTTAGAAATAAAAGAACCTGGAGAAGTAGGTGAGTGGAAAGAAAGAGAGAGGAAAGCTTTCAAACCAACAAGGTCTCGTCCATCACCACCGTCGAATTCATCTTTCTGATGATACACTGAGAGGTAAGTTCCAATCCAAACAAAAGAGTCAAATCACGTTTCATCAAAATTGGCAAAAAAAAACAGATTAAGAAAAAGAAATCGTTGAACTTACTTGATGATTTTCAAAAACTAAACGGTGATCGTTGTTGTGAGAAGAATAAGAATTTGATGATGAATAAAAAGAAAGGAATAATAATAATAGGATGATGGTGTCGTGTTGGGTCAAAATTGAAAGAATTGATTGATTCCTTTCCCGCGTTCCACTTGCACCTTCACGCACACCATGAGTGTTTGTTCATGTCTTTTGACTAACGCCACCTAAAATTGAACCCTTTTTCCTTTTTTTCACACAAAAAAACTCGACCCTTTATACTCGCCCACGTTTTTAATATAGATGACTAATCTCTATTGGAAATTTATGTGCCCTAATTCCTTTTTACAAGTACTTTTACCTCGTCTTAATGTAACCTTTTTTTCCAAAAATTTTATCATCATACTTTTTCAAAGATGTGTCCATGACAATTTTTTTATAAATGCAAAGAAAATATAAGAAAAATAACAAGGCAGAAGTTAGGGTTTAAGTTTAATATACTAGTCTAAAATATTTGTGAGAATACAAAGATAAAGCTAAGAATGATAAATGTGAATATGAATCGATGTAAATGTTAGGTCTATTTAAACATACTTCGTCTACATGATAGAGAGTATAAATTAAAATTAAGTTGGATTTAGGCAATTTCTATCAAAGTTGGAAGAGTTTACTCCAAGGTGATGAACGAGCTACCGTAATTTAAAGTCAGCTTAACCTTTTAAAAATGAGTTAAGACTGGTTTGTATTGGTTTTTTTTTAAAATGATTTTTATAGTATAGTATAATTTTGTGAAAAAAATATTTATAGAGAAAATTTTCATAACAGTTTTAAATGAAAATTTGGTTTGAATAGTTATTTTTAAAATACTATTTTAGATATTTCATTATTTTATTGAATTTTTTTTTTGGATATCAAAATTTCAAATAATCACTTAATTTCAAAGCTATTTCAAATAGATTTTCATAAAAAAATCATTTTTGAGATATAACATTTTGAAAAAGTTGTGATTTCGACTATCTTTTGATCTTCAATAATGTATGCTTATGTTATAGAATGTCAAAATTAATCTTTTAATTTAGAAAAAACGAATATAAAAAAAATTACAATATTTTGAAAAATGATTTTGTAATATCTATTTTTGAAAATTAATATATATATATATATATATATATATATATATATATATATATATATATATATATATATATATATATATATATATATATATATATATATATATATATATATATATATTTTAAGAGCTGAAACAAACATATTTATAATCTGACCAAGCTCACTCGACACTAGAGAACAAAGTAAAGAGACTTTATTACGCAGATAACACATTTAAGGCAAATCAATGGTCATTAATGGACCAGACTCAGACATGAGAACAATTTCATTCATGAATATTATTAATTAGTCTTAAATGTGTAGGTCGCTCGGATTCATATAGGGGTGAAAAATAGGTCGGATCCTATAGGATGGATTGTTTGACCCATCATTTTTGATGGGACAGAGTCGAAGTTTTTAATTTGGTGTCTTAAATTGGTCTATCCTACCTAACCCTCTTTAAAACGGGATGAGGTAGGTTTTACCCCAGACTTTTTGTTAAATTTTTTTTATATTTAGAATGAAAATTGGGTAGTACATTGAGGAGGTCAATCTATTGATTTATTTTCTTGTTTATTGATAAAAAATTGGAATTTGAATACTTACGTCTAACGTTGCCATAAATGAAAAAACTCGTTTTTTTTGTTGTTTTGCTTAAAGTGACTGAAGATGCAAGTTGCAACTATGAAAACGAATTATTTATACGATATAAATTAGAAAATCAAGAATTAATGAGATAGTAAATTTTTTATCATTGTTTACTAAAATACTACAATTTTTATGTATTTTATTGTTTAATAACTCTTAAAGATGTGTATTACTATTTGAATGCTAATGGCATATTTTCTAAAGTTTGTAAGTAAATTAGTAAACCAAACTATAAATAAAGTAGTAAATTATTAAAAAAAATTATAAATAAAGTAGTAAATTAAACAGAAAAAATTATAAATAAAGTAATAAATTAAATTGAAAAAATAACAAAAAAGAGTTTGGCAGGTTGGAACAACTCGTTAGTAAACATGGCGAGCCTGACTTTTGACCTCAGAAATCTAAGTTGGTATGACCCTCTTCGCCTTACTGCTAGACGAACTTAAACGGAGTGAGCCTGAATGGGCAGGCTGCCCACTTTGCCACCCAATTCCTGTGCCGCCCAATGTCGACCCGACCATGGTGGCTTTGTACGCGGCGATCAACCAAACAAACCCGATGATGTTCCAACAGAACAAACATATCAGGATGCTGGAAAAGGAGTGACAATCACGCTCTCTCCCGCGGAGACATAGGCGCCCCGTTTCTTGCAGCCCATCCCGGAGACATCAAATGAACGAATCTCAAAGCCCCTCGTCGTAACAACATGGACGTTGCCCACGGCTAGAGAGGCCTCAGCCCGTAGCAACCCAGAAGCGCGACCGCAGTCCTCCCCAGAAGGAGCGCTCTCCCCGGCCCCCAAGAGGAGCAAAGCCGACGATTTGCTTTAATCGGATTGCCAACGTGCATTGGTTGCAATGGGCTACATGTTTTGGATGTGAGAACCATAATTGCTCGGTTTATAAGGTAAATCGTGCATTTTATTGCAATGAAGTGACCAATACGCTTCCTAGATTTCCCTTTTATGTGATTTGTAACATAAGGCGTTGGATGATGTTAGCTACTATTTTTGGTTGTTATGCTTGTTCGTTGTATTTAGTGAGTTGTCAGTGTTCCCTAAAGAGAGGCTTGGGATTGTTGAGACTGATGTTGTATAGTAGTATATTTGTACTCCGCTCTGCGTCATAGAGGATCGTTCCCTGACTAAGGGTAAGATCCTCGTCCCTACCCTCGAGACTTGACTCGGATCCAGGTGGACGTCTTCGGGTTGTACCTCTTACGCCTTTGGATTGACTATATTCAAATTGGGATTCGCTAGCTATGCAATAATGCATTTATTCAGCATCAGATTATGCTGAAACTCATTTTAAGTTGTATCAGACATGCAGAAACGTATTTATTCTGTATCGGGAGCACATGAATGCATTTATTATGTATCGGGTACGCATTCATGCGAGAAATGCATTTCGAGACGTACCAAACATGTATAAATATGTTTATTATATATCAAGTATGCAGTCATGCGAGGAATCTTTGTTACCTCAATCATAGGGGTGGAAATAGATTGGGTCGAGTTAGGCTTTGCCAAGCCTAAGTCTGACCTGCCCAAAAAACCGAAGCCTAAGCCTGGCCTGTAGCCTGTCATAAGCTCATTTTTAGGCATGAGTCTGACCTTTTCTAAGGTCTGATTAGCCTGTTAGCCTACATAAAAGCCTGTTATTTTAAATAGACTAAAAAACTAAAAAACCAATGAGACTAAACGTTTGTTTACATTAACTTATTTTAACTTACCTATTAGCATAAGTTTTATGAGATTATTTATTTAAGATAACTTATGAAAATAACTTATAACATTGTTTATAAGGTGTTTTCATCTTATTTTCATAAGTTCTCCAAGATAACCAATTTTCATTTATGTATTTTAATTCAAAGTACAAAACATAACATAATGATAATAAAAAGTTTATTTATATTTATTTAAATAGACCGGCCTGTTAGCCTTAAAAGACTTTTTTTAAAAAAACTAAATAGGCTTATAAAAAACCCTAGGCCTTTTCTATTTTAAAAAAAAAGCTTAGTCTGACTTGAGTCTGTGTAGGCTAACCCCGTAGGCCCCTGTTATCGGTCTGACTTATTTTCACCCCTCATCAACCATTAGCATCCTAAAATAAAGAGAGACATAGAAACATACAATAGAGGAAGGAAAGAAAAGATGCATGAATATTTATACTAATAATTAATTGAATTCGTTACAAGGAAATATTGAAATGCTTAGATAGATATAACTTCAATAGTAACTCTATTATGGATGGAAACAATTTCGAGCTCTTGCTACCTACCCTTCTTAGGGGCTCTAGAATGTGCGTTCTTATTTCTTACGGAAAATCCCTCAGATGGATGAGGCATTGAAACATCATGCATTATCTTTTCCTTATGAAGCACTATTGGGTGATCGGATCTAATGAGGACATATGAGGAAATTCGTTGAAACCTTAGGATCATGGAGTGTCTTTGTTGAATGCTTTAGAAAGTCGCTTTCTTATTACTGGAGTAGAAATGTCTCGGATTCCGTATTATTATAGAGTGGATATCTACCACAGGCGGTCGACAGGTGGCTTATAATCTTCTTATAGGTAACCCAACCTTATGTTCGTCTCCTTCTAGACCTGGGAAGGTGGTCGGAAATGGACGATGTTCCTTGAGAGGCTCATCTCCCCGTCCCATGCAGAAAGAGCTTGGATTGTTATTTTTTTTTATACTTTTTCTTTTGGAATGGCTCTGTTGGGTGGTAATCTGAGACTACTACCAATCGATCTCCTTGCAACCAGAGCCCGAGTGTCTTTCCCCAGAGCATGTTAAGTGAACCTCTATTTCTTGACTGACCCAAGCGATAAATAAAGGGTGTAAAGGGGTCAATGTGCTCAAGTGCGATCAAATCTGGTGATGGGAACTTTCTTCACTTTGCCACAGTGAGGTAGCCTCAATTGTGATGTGAGCTTCGTCCTGACCTATTGGATCTGGCCCGTTGAGACCTCGGTACATCAGGTGGAAATCCTTTAGTACCCATAGTATGGATTTTGGTACTAGATATATGCCCGACATTAACAATGAACTTGTCATATCTTCAACGTCGTTGCGGTTAGTACCACGTTAGCAGCGGGAAGTTCTGGCGACATTAGATTGGAAGATTGATCACGAACCTTCAACATGCTCTTCAAGGAAACTTCCTTCAACCTCTGGTGTAGATCTAGATTTTAATCTAGGATCATTTCTTCCATCGCATACCAGAGTTCTCAATGGAATTGAAAACCTAAGAATCCA